CAACCCACTAAATAGGAAAATATAATGACTGATACATCTGATAAGGGGTTAATACCAAAAATATATAGAGAACTTACAAAACTATATGCCAAAAGAACAAAAAATCCAATTAAAAAATGAGCAAAGGGCCTGAATAGACACTTCTCCAAAGAGGATATGCAAATGGCCAATAGACATATGCAAAGATGCTCAATGTCACTGATCATCAGAGAAACACAAATTAAAACCACAATGAGATTTCACCTCACACCAGTCAGAATGGCTATCATCAATATACCAACAGCCAGTGCTGGTGAGGATGTGGAGAAACCCTTTTACATCACTGGTGGGAGTGCAGTTTGGTGCAGCAACTATGGAAAGCAGTATGGAGGTTCCTCAAAAAAATTAAAAATGGAACTGGTTTATGACCCAGCAATTTCACTTCTGCATGTATTAACTGAAGAAACCCAAAACACTAATTAATGTTCACTGTAGCAATATTTATAACAGCTAAATTATGGAAGCAACACTAGTGCCCATCAATGGATAAAAAAGTTGTAGTATGTATATACAATAGAATAGAATATTACTCTGCCATAAAAAGGAATGAAATCTTAACATTTTTGACAGCATGGATGGACCTAGAGGGCATCATTCTAAGTCAGTCAGAGAAAGACAAATACTACATGATTTTACTTATGTGTGAAATCTAAAGAACAATATAAATCAACAAGAGTAGAACAGAAACAGGCTCATAGGTACAGAGAACAGGTATGTTTGCCAGAGGGCAGGGAGACTGGGAAACTGAGTGAAAAGTTGAAGGGACTGAGAAGTACAGATTGGTAGTTACAAAACAGTCATGGGGACATAAAGTACAGCATAAAAAATATAGTCAATAATATTGTAATAACAATGTATACTGCCAAGTAGGTACTGGAAAAATCACAGGGAACACTTTGTAAAGTACATGACTGTCTAACCATTATGCTGTACACCTGAAACTAATATAAAATAATATTGACTATAAACTTTAATTGAAAAATATAAAAATTAATAAAATTTTTTAACGTGATGAACATACTCTATGTATTCAAGTCACCAACAATCAAAAGCGTCTGATGCCTACTTTATAAAAGCAAATTAATATAATGTAAGCCAATTAAAATTTAAAAATTTAAATAAGATATTGTTCTATTTAGCAAAAGTGGTGTTTATAAAGGCATTTTCAAAACAAATATAATTCTTCTTCATTTTCCTTCTGATCTTTACTCAAAACAGTAGTCATTACCAACTGCTTCCATGTAATGTTTACATAAGGTACACTTAGTGCTCTTTAAATACTCAAATTTTATTTATTATCAATGAAAAGAATGAGTAATTACTCAAAGATAATTCATTAATATCTTGTGTATTTTTAATTTAATGAGCTCAAGGAAATTAAGATCTGTTGAGAACTGTCATTCAAAATATCAACTGAGCCCTGGCTGGGTGGCACAAGGGGTTGGAGCATCGTCCCATACACCAAAAAGGTTGCGGGTTTGGTCCCCTGTCAAGGCACATGCCTAGGTTGGATGTTTGATCCCTGGTCAGAGTGCATACGGGGGGCAATGATCAGTGTTTCTCACATTGACGCTTCTTTCTCTCTCCCTTCCTCTCTCTCTAAAATCAATAAACATATCCTCAGGTGAAGATTTAAAAAAAATAAACTGAGAGCAGTTATATAATTCTAGATCGGCACTTTACACATATATATGGAATAGAAACTTACAAGCTCTTATTCAGAAGAAAGAATGGTAAGAACTCAGTTCAAACAAGCAAATATTATGAACAAAATTATAGTCTTAATATGTGAAAGGAAAATATATACCATTCTTATGATGCATAATGTTCAGAGCCACTGAATATGGATAATATGAATAATTAAGTTTAAAAAAACACAACTTTATAGTGATCCATCATACATTATGTAAATGACTACCCATCCCTACCCCAGAGCTGTATAGGATTCCCCCTATATACACCTATGTGGCAACAGTGGTAATTCAGTATCTATTCAAAGAATTAAAAATACGCAGATATGGCATAGGTATTGTAGACTGTATTACTTGATGAAATTATCATGCTGTTTCTACTTAGCCAAATACTGTAAGGCTTCTCTCTGCCAGAGGATTATATTTCATGCCCCAGTGACATGGCATTGACCATGTGACTTGCTTTGGCAAATAAAATATGACTGAAAGTGACAGTTTTGAACAGAAGCTTTAAGAGCAACTGACTGGTTCTGCTAGCCCTTTCCCCTTTGATACAAGAGCAGCATGTCTTGGGTGGAGCTGTTTCTCTAGCCCGTTCTCAGAATAACAAAGGGGAGGGCCACTGGCAGCTGGCACATGATATAGGTGATTAAGAAATAAAATTTGTTCTACTATTAATTTAAATTTAGGAGCTATTTGATACTGCAGCATAACAGAGTGTAAGCTGACTAAAACAACAGGCCGTATTTTAAAAACGTGAAGTCAAGTATTAGGATAAAATTTATACTTTAAATAAAGGCACTCCAAATAAATGTATTGTGTGCTCATTATAGAATATCTAAAAAAATTAAAATTACCAATACTCTTACCATCCAACCATAATGACTGATACTATATTATTTCAGAGTATTTTCTTATAGTGCACATTTTCTTCCAGTATTTTTCTTATGCATATACGCAACTGGCATTATACCTCACATTCCATTTTATATTGTGCCTTTCATACTCACTGTATTTTCCCATGACATTAAGTCTCACAATAAAATAATTATATTGATGTAATACACTTCAATAATTTCTCTAATGTTAAATATCTAGTTTCTGATTTTAGAATATTTATAAATAATAGATGTGAACAATATACATTTTCCATAAAATTTTGTATCTATACAGACTTTTGGAGGAGAGTTTCCTTAGTGGACATAACTTTGAGATGTCTTTGATACATTCAAGTAGATGTCAGGAAAAGGTCTGGGCAGAAACTGTTGAAAATGTCAAGACATGAATGAAAACAACTACTGATGTCCAAAGTATCTCAGAGTAGTAATAGAATGGTTATTAATACTTGTAAAGGGCATTCTATAAATCTATAAACATACTAAGGCTAAAAGTAGAAAAAAGTAAATGTACTGTGCATGTAGTCCTGTAGAGGAGACTATTTTAGAAAATTTAACACATAGAAGAAAAGTATCTCAAAATAAATCATTAGCTAAATTGTTAAAATCATATTACCCAAAGATTATAATCAATCAGCTCAACTTCTCTTGCTGTTAGTTTTCTTATGACTTAATGACTAATTTCTTCTTTAAAGAATGACTTTGAACAAATGGAAAGTTAAAGCCTTTTCCATAACAGCATGTAAACAAAGTCTGTGATTTAATACAAGGTCAAATTCCTGAAATATATGTCTGCCAGTTTTACTTTTTAAAAAATTTAGTAGTTTTAATAAGTGAAGGACTTCAGGATTCTGCACACTCTTTAAGTGTATTAAATCCACAAAATAAATTCATACAAGGAATTCTGTATGAATTTATACAATTAAGTTATATTAAAAGATTTAGTTTGCAAGTCAGTAAGTAAAACAATATTCCTTCACAGAAGCAATAAAGTAAACAAGAAAATGAACAAAGTAACCAAGGTTCATTGATTTTAAGTCATTGCAACAGAAATCTTCACAGTCAAATATTTAAGAGCTCTAATGTTATTTCAAAACAATTATGAGGCATTATTTTGAAAATAGATCATCTTGCTATAAGCAGATGTATTAAGAAAATGGCAAATAACTGAACTTTATAATAAAGTTTTGTAAAAAGTCTGGATCATCTAATATACTATTTTAAAATAGTGTGGAAATCTATTATTCATGTGTTTAATGTTTACCATAATCGCATCGCTAGTTTTAGGCAGGCTAACTAGTGATGGTACTGCTGCATTTGTAAGTATTACACTTTGTAGGATACAACTTGGATGAACCTCAAGGAAATCAGCCTGACTGAAAAAAGTCAATAAAAAACACATCCTGTATGATTCCATCTACAAAACATTCATAACAACATTATAAAAATGGATAACAAATTATTGGTTGCTAGCAGTTAGGGATGGGGGGCAGGAGAGATGCGGCCATAAAGAGGTAGTAAGAGGAAACATTGTGGTAATTGTGACAGTGTTTACATGAAGCTACGCAGGTAATAAAATTTCATAGAGCTATACACATACACACAAATGCGTACATGTAAAAATCATGAAATATGAATGAACTATGTGGGCTGTACCAATATCAGTTTTCTGGTTCTGATATTTTGATACTGTAATATCTTGTTAAGCAAGATAGTAACACTGGGTGAGACTGGGTGAAGGATGCATGGAACCTCCTGGTGTATCCTCCTGTAATATTTCCTATGACCCTATAATCACGTCAAATAAAACATTAAAAGTCTTTACTGCTCCATTATATATCAATAAAATCAAATATTCTTTTCAAAATAGATTTTAAATTACTATTACTAATAATCAGTACTTGACAAGTTTATAATATTGAAAATGAACTTTGTCTTTTGGTAATGTAATTTCTTACAGAATAAAGCTGAAGATAGAGCTGAGTTACATGAGAAAGACTTTCTTGTTGCCCTCAGTGAAAATATCACTTCGAATTTTCAATTTGACATTTAAAATTATTTAAAGAGAAAAAGAGTTATATTATGAAAAACATGGAATCTCTTATATAGTTAATTTAACAAAATGCAACTGAAAATAAAACATGTTTTTATGTGAGTTAACATGAAGATGCATTGTTTTGCTTCTTGGTAAAATAACTTTTTCAAATTGACTTTATAAAGTATCTCCCATTTTAGAATATGGTATTGCAAAATGAACTGTTTCCCTGGGGAAATGATGGTGTCAAGTAAAGTAACTGAGATATAATCAAAATTAAACTTAAAAAGAACAGCTGGCTTTAAACAGTATTAATGTAAACCAATACATTAATTTTACCTGATTTCCAACTTTGCCACTTCAGGTAATTCTCCAAATTTTATCTCTTCTACATCTAGTTCTTTAAGAGCAGCTAGAATTTTCTGCTGATCTCTAGTGGTAATTCCATTCTAAACAGAAATAATTTCAAGGTGCAATAATATATTCATACTTGAATAATATTCAAATCACTAAAAAAATTTTCTACTTGATTAATTCACATCTTGAAAAAAGGTAAATATTGGAAAAAAAACACTGAAAAATATATGATTTGTTTGTAACTGTGACTGAGAAGTTCACATCATTAAAATATTTAGATATGTAGTAACTTTAAGTAAATTTTTTACAATACGTAAGTCGTGATACATTATAAAAATAAATGACTAGATTATCACCTACAGACTTTCTAAAAAACCACAGTAACCAATTTTTCATTTAAAATATTATTTAAAGTACCAGTGATTAAGGGTGAACTGTCTTCTTTTTCTATGTATCCACACTTAGTATTAACTAAATTTTCTACCCAGGGTTTAGATAATTGGTATGTTTATTTTGATTTTTAGTGGTACTAAAGGTTTTAAGTTTCCAACGTGTTTATGCCAACTTGTCCCAATGTGTTTGGAAAAATCATTACTTTTTAAGTGTTCAATTTATTAAAATATGTCTCCTGTTTCCCATAGTATTTTCAAATTGTTGCTTACTAACAATAAATGATAAAATAACAGGTCTTGATCATTGTGAGAATCCAGCAAAAAGGCAGTATTTGGATGACACATGTTCATACCCACATATTTAAAAAAACCACCTCTTATTTCTAAGTAACCTGTTGTACAAATTTAATTTATATTTAGAAATGAAACATGAGTTTTAGTTGAAATGTCATGGCCAAATCTAAAGAAAAAAACAACTCTTGAGACCTTAAATGTTCCTAAAGAAACTTAACACTGTAAGAGAAGATTTCAGATATGGTTATCTATAATCATATCTAATCAAGAACCTAGCAGAAGATCACTTACAGCCTATAGCCCTAGGATTTTCAAAATAGAAAATAAAGGGCTCCGCAATTTTAAAAATATGAAAGATAATATCTGGAGTTTCTGAAATTAATACTACCTTTGCAAACTCTTCTTTTCTCATGGTCAAAAGATGTCTTAAAGTTATATCCCTTTCCTGTAGAAAAGGAAAAAAAACACCTTTCAATATAAGTAAAAGAGTAGAAGAGGAAGTAGCAATGTATACATAAATTAGTCAGCTACATGCTGTCCTCTTACACAACTTAGAAGGTTCTAGAGAGAACAGGATATGAAGATACAGAATTATACTACTAGGTACAAAGTAATCAATATCATAATATGTATAATTACCTTAAAAAGTATAAACACACCTAATTTTCCAGATTCAGAGAAAATGATTACAATTTATATTCTTCCATAAAAAGAAAAATAGCTCTATAAAATTGAATAGAAATTGTTTTATGAATATTTAAAATTTCTATTTTTATCACATTAAACCATCATTAATATTTAGTTTTACTCAATATATGTCAAGTAAGAAGTTTCCAGATTGTAAAATGAAGTCTAATTCTAAGCTAGAGAAACAAAATGTGCACATTCTTAAGGACAGCCTATCTTAAACAGTAAGAGCTAATTGTCTGATAACTGTCATCTACTCAAATCCCATCATGTATGCCTAAAGTACCAGTAACTGTGCTTGGCATATGAGTTTAATCTTTATGACAACCCTACACTAGGCATCATCATTCTTATGGAAAAAAAGTCAGAGATTTAAGTAACAAATTTTAGTTAACAACCATTAAAGCAAGAATCTGATACCAGATTTGTTTGGTTTAAAATCATGCATTTTCTAGTATTCTATACAGTAAGGTCAGCAATTGTGAAAACAAAGGTGATGGACAAGCAGGAATTCTGTGAAGCCTTAGGTGGTAGGTAAACTCTGCTTAATCCAGCTAAATTCTAATTTATGTAAATTTCTAGAATAATACATTTTCAAAATACTTACAAATACAAATTTTTGAAACATAAGTACAAGTTTACAAAATGCTTATAATTACAAATTATAGAGAAAAGTGCATTTGGGACTCTCTCATAAACATGTCTATGGATATTTAATGTTATGTTAGCAAACAAATATACATACACAATTCACTATAGCTTATACAATATCTTACCTTTAATAAGTCTGTCATATGTTCAAGTCCAAGACCATGTAAAAATACTTCCAGGTCTCCAAATGCTGTATATGAACTATATATATATTTATAGCAATGTCAATTTCAGAAGACTACAAATGCACAAGTATGTATTTATAACACAGAGAGAGAATGAGTAAAAATAAATATATGTAAAATATATCTACATATTTACATACCAGATCTATGTTACATCAGGAATAAGAAAGGTTTCTGGAGTGAAGATGTAAGTAAACGTGTAATAGTAAATGGTGATAGTAAAATGTAGCTCATCTTTCCTAAGAATGAAAATAGCTGCCAATATGTAAATTCTTTGTGAGATGTACATGAAAATCTCTAATTGAAGGAAGTAAGAATTTAGTAATAATTTTAAATGCGGATAAATAGAGAATAATTGTGTGGTCTGTACTGAACAGTGTTCAGAGTTCCATATTTTTAATTTTACAAAAAATTTACAAATTTGTAAATTTACCAAAAATTACATACTTTTAACTTTAGCTTATAAAATTGGAAACCTGCTAAAAATATTAATGTTCACAAAAACTGAACACTAACAAAAATATAATCTTAGAATCTTTTAGAAATAAATTTTATTGTGGATAATTTACTTAAAGTCAAAAATTCTCATTATTTTTAGTACACATATATAAAATTTTTCTAAAATTCTTGAGAACAAAGCACTTACTATACAGACATTTCTAAGTGATATTTAAAACTACGTTAAATTTAAAATATCATATATTTTAAGTGTCATCACATTTACTAGAAGTAATAAAAATATCAATAATTTACACTAATTTATAGGTGTTTTGTTGAGCAAAAAAAATGTTACCTAAATATATGATCTTTTTCTTTATCAGAATCTGTTGCCAGTAGTTTAAAAATAGTCTCTTCTTTAGTTAGCTGCTGAAGCTTTCCTTTCAATGGATTTAAACTCAGAGATAGCAAGCTGAAGATCTGAAAAAGTTGAGCCATTTAAATAGAGTAAACAATGTTATATAATATCACTTACACTTAAAATAAACTAAACGTGATTATTTTTATATCTAGAAGGAAAAAATTTCCAAGGTGAGAGGGACAGAACTTTCACAGCTTATTACTCAAAATGATTTTTAAAAAATCAAGTAAATATTTACTTGATTAAAATACTAATCAGGAAAGAAAAAAGTACATATAATTAATTACAGTAAAAATTAAAGAAGTACAGTAATTGATAATATTTTCTATATGATATAAAACAAAACTAAAAATCCCATTTTGGTAAGTGACTCAGATTAAGTACTAAGGTAGTACTTCAAACACATTGTTAAGAAGGGAGCAAGAAGCATGACTAAATGTATACACATCCCAACCCTACACCTCAAAGATATAAGGAAACATGCCATAGTTTTAAAATCTACCCTTTTAGTAAGTCAAGGTTGTGCTACATAATCAGCCAAAATACAAAATTAAATCTCACTTTAAGAAACAATTTATAACGAAAAATAATCTTTGATCATAAATTTTTTAAAAATGTTTTTTTTTTTTTTGCCACTACCATTTATCTCCCTTACACCTCCCTCCACCCTGCAATCACCACACTGTTGTCCATGTCCATTAGCCCTTTCTCCTTTTTGTTTGATCCCTCCACTCCCTAACCATCCCCCACTGGAGCGGTCAGCCTGCTCTCTATGAGCCTGTCACTATTTTGTTTCTTAGTTCAGTTTGTTCATTGTATTCCACATATAAGTGAAATCATATGGTATTTGTCTTTCTCTGACTGACTCATTTCACTAAGCATAACATTCTCCAGGTACATCTGTGCTGTCTCAAAAGGTAAAATTTTCTTTTTTTTAAGGTCTAGTATTATTACACTGTGTAAATGCCTCATACTTGTATAATCGATTCATCTGCTGATGGACACTGGGGCTGCTTCCATATCTTGCTCATTGTAAATAACACTGCAATGAACATGGGGGTGCTTACATTCTTTCAAATTAGTGTTTTGGGTTCCTTTGGGTATATTTCCAGAAGTGGGACTGCTGGATGAAAAGGTAGTGTCATTTTTAATTTTTTGAGGTATCTCCATACTGCTTTCCACAGTGCCTGCACCAATCTGCAGTCTCACTAGCAGTGCATGATGGTTCCTTTTTTTTCCACATCCACGCCAACAATTGTAGTTTGTTGATTTATTGATGATAGCCATTCTGACCAGTGTGAGGTAGTTCTCATTGTGGTTTTAATCAGCATTTCTCTGATGATTACTGACATTGGGTATCTTTGCATATATGTTTATTGACCATTTGTATGTCCTCTTTGGAGAAGTGTCTGTTCAGGTCCTTTGCTCATTTTTTTAACTGGATTTTTTTTTTTTTTTTTGAGTTGAGCTTTGTAAGTTCTTTATGTGTTTTGGACATTAACCCCTTATCAGATGTATCAGTGAATATGTTCTCCCATTTATGGGTTGTCTGTTTATTTTGTTGATGGTTTCCTTTACTGTGCTAAACCTTTTTAGTTTGATGTTGTCCCATTTGTTCATTTTTTCTTTTGTTTTCCTGGCCTGAGGAAATATATCCAATAAAATATTGTTACAAGCAATGTCTGAGACTTTACTGGCTATTTTTTTCTTCTCATTTTTTTATGGTTTTAAGTCTAACATTTAAGTTTTTAATCCATTTTGAATTTATTCTTCTGTGTGGCCTAGGAAGGTGATATACACTCATTTTTCTGCACATGTCTAATTTTCCCAATGCTTTGTACTGTATGTGCTTGCAACCTCTGACAGTTATTGATTGGCTATAAAGGTATGGGTTTATTTCTGGGTCCTCTATTCTTTTCCATTGACCTATGTATCTGTTTTTATGCCAGTACCATGCTGTTTTAACTACTATAGCCTTATAGTGTAGTTTGATATTAGATAGTGTGATTCCTCCAACTTTGTTCTTCTTTCTCAGGATCACTGTTGCTATGTGGGGCATTTTGTGGTTCCATATAAATTTTTGAGATATTTGTTCTAGTTCTGTGAAATACATCATTGGAATCTTGACAGGAATTACACTGAATCTATAGATTGCTTTGGGTAGTATGGCCATTTTAATGTCAATTTTTCCTATTCATGAACAGGCTATCTTCTTGCATCTTCTTCCACTTGTATCTTCTTCAATTTCTTTCTTCAGTGTCTTATAATTTTCTGAGTACAGGTCTTTTACATGCCTGGTTAGATTTATTCCAATGTGTTTTGTTTTTTTTTTAAAGTATTTTATTTATTTATTTGTAGGGAGAGGGGAAGGGAGGGAAAAAGAGAGAGAAACATCGAAGTGTGGTTGCCTGTAGGGTGACCCCAACTGTGGACATGGCCTGTAACCCAGGCATATGCCCTGACTGGGAATTGACCCAGTGACCCTTTGGTTCACAGGCTGGCACTCAATCCACTTAGCCACACCAGCCAGGGCTATTTTATTCTTTTTGAAGCAATCTGAAAGGGACTGTTTTCTCAATTTCCCATTCTGATTATTATAGTAATATAAAAATGCAATGGATTTCTGAATATTAATTTCATATCCTGCTACTTTTTTTGAATTCATTTATCAGTTCTAGTAGTTTCTTGGTGGAATCATTAGGGTTCCCTATGTACAGTATCACATAATCTCCCAATAAATATGGCCTTACTTCTTCCTTTCCAATTTGGATGCCTTTTATTTCTTCTTTGTCTGACTGGCATGGCTAGGAAGTCCATTACTATGTAGAATAAGAGAGGAGAAAGTGGATATCCCAGGCTTGTTCCTGATCTTTAGGGAAATGCTTGTGTTTTTTGCCTGTTGGGTATGATGCTGGCAGTGGGTTTGTAATACATGGCCTTTTATGTTTAGTTATGTTCCTTTTATTTCCACTTTACTAAGATTTTTTATCATAAATATGTGCTGGATTTTATCAAATGCTTGTTCTGCATCTATTGATGTGATCATATAGTTTTTATCCTTCATTTTGTTTATGTGGTATATCATATATATTGATTTGTGAATGTCATACCAACCCTGCATTCCTGGAATCTCACTTGATTGTGGTGTATGATCTTTTTGATGTATTGCTGTATTCGGATTCCTAATATTTTGTTGAGTTTTTTAGCATTTATGTTCATCAGGGAACTTGGCCTGTAATTTCCTTTTTTGTACTGTCTTTATCTAGTTTTCGAATCAGGATAACGATGGCCTCATAAAATGAGTTTGGGTGTCTTCCCTCATCTTGAATTTTTTTAAATAGTTTGAGAAGGAAAGGTGTTAGTTCTTCTCAGAATATTTGGTAAAATTCACCTGTGAAGCCATCTGGTCCAGGGCTTTTGTTTGTTTGGAGGTTTTTGGCTACTGCTTCAATTTCACTAGGTGTAATCTGTGTATTCAGATTCCCTGATTCTTCCTGATTTAGTTTGGAAGATTGTATGTTTCTATGAATTATCCATTTCATACAGGTTGTCCAAATTGTTGCTCATAATACTCTCAAAATCCTTTGTATTTCTGTAGTGTCAGTTGTCATTTCTCCTCTTTCATTTTTGATTTACTTGGGTCTTCTCTCTTTATTGATGAGTCTGGTTAAATATTTATCAACCTTGTTTATCTTTTCAAAGAACCAGCTTTTGGATTCACTGACCTTTTGTATCGTTTTTAGACTCTATTTCATTTATTTCTGCTCTGATCTTTATTGTTTCTTTCCTTCTACTCACTTTCAGTATTGATTGTTGTTCTTTTTCAAGTTCCTTGAAGTGTAAAGGTAAATTGTTTACTTGGCCTTTTTTTGTTTCTTGAGGTAGGCCTGTAATGTTATGAATTTCCCTCTTAGAATTGCTTTTCTGTGTCCCACAGATTTTTGGATGTTGTGTTATCATTTTCATTTGTTTCAAGGTACCTTATGATTTCTTCCTTGATGTCACTGATGACCTATTCATTGCCATAACATTGTAGTCAGGGAAGATGCTTGATATGCATATCAAGATTTCAATCTACTTAAATTCACTGAGACCTGTTTTGTGTCCTATTATGTGGTCTATACTAGAAAATGTCCCATGTGTAATTGAAAATAATGTATATTCTGCTGTTTTGGAGTAGAATGTTCTGAAGACATCAATTAAATCCATTTGATCTAGTGTGTCATTTAAGGCCACTGACTCCTTGTTGATTTTTTGTCTGGAAGATCTATCCATTGATGTAAATGGGGTATTAAATCCCCTACCATGACTGTATTTCTGTCAATCTCTCCCTTTATGTCCATTAAGATTTGCTTGACATATTTAGGTTCTCCAAATATTTACTAGGATTATATCCTTTTGTTGGATTATTTCCTTTTTAATTATGTACTGTCCTTTGTTTCTTACTATAGCCTTGGTTTTAAAGTCTGATTTTGTCAGTAAGTATGACTACCCCAGCTTTTTCTTCCTCTTCATTTGCATGAAATAGCCTTTTCCCTTTTTTTACTTTTAGTCTGTGTGTATCTCTTGGCCTGAGGTGGGTCTCTTGGGGACAGCACATATATGGGTTTGGTTTTCTTATCTATTCAGCTACCCTGTGTCTTTTGATTGGAGCATTTAAGCCATTTACATTCAAACTGATTATTGATACGTAAGAATTTACTGCCATTTTATTAACTATTTTCCTTTGTTTTTCTTCTTTTTCTAAAAGCAAGCCCTTTAACAGTACTACTTTGGTGATGTAACAAACTCCTTTAGCTTTTTCGTGTCTGACAAGCTCTTTGTTTCTCCTTAAATTTTAAGTAATAGCCATGCTGGGTAAAGTAGCCGCGGTCCTTGCTTTTCATCAATGTGAATGTTTCATGCTAATCCCTTCTGGACTGAAATGTTTCTGTTGAGATATTAGAATAGTCTAATAGAAGTTCCCTTGTAGTTAATTGTGTGTCTCTTGTGGCTTTTAAGATTCTGTCCTTGTCTTTAAGCCTTGCCATTTTGATTATGATGTGTCTTGCGTGGGCCTGTTTCAGTATATCTTGACTGGGGCTTTCTGCATTTCCTGGGCTTGTGTATCTTTTTCCTTCACCAAGTTAGGAAAGTTTTCAGTCATTATACCTTCAAATAGGTTCTCGATCCCTTGCTCACTTCTCTTCTCCTCCTGCTATTCCCATGAAGTGGATGTTGTTACACTCCATGTTGTCTCAAAGCCTTCTTAAACTATCTCTGTTTTTTTTAAATTATTATTTTTTTCTTTTTGCTTCCCTGATTGGGTGTTTTTTCTACTTTGTCTTCTGAATTGCTGATTTGATCTTCTACTTCATCTAAACTATTGTTTATTCCTTCCAGTGCATTATTTTTTTCAGATATTGCATTCTTTATTTTTGACTGGTCCTTTTTTTATGGTTTCTATGTCTTTTTTCATGCTGTTGAGCAAGTATCCTTATAATCATTACTCTAAACTCTGTATCTCATAAATTGCATTACCTCCATTTAATTTAGTTCTTCTGGAGAATTCTCTTTTTCTTTCACTTGGGGTCTGTTTCTTTGTCTTCTTACTTTGGCTTCCATTTGTGTTTGTTTCTAAGAATCAGATCTACAAAGACTCTGGAGTAGCCCTATGTCAGATGCTGTCTTTGATTGGCCCTTGGCAACCTGTTTGGAGCTATCAGTGATTCATAGCTTCTAGCTCCTTCTACTAAGTCTGGGTATGTAGAGAAAGAACCAAGCTGTGCACCAAGGCTGGCTTTTTACTAGCAGAGGCCTGGGGGAAATCTGCTGAAGTCTCAGTGCTCCCAGAGATCCATCTTTGCCTTCACACTTTCTGTTAGGCTTAATCACTAAAATAGCCTCCATCTGTACTCCTCAGCAGCCCAGTTAAGCTCCACAGGGTGTGGCTATTGCTCCCCGCTACCCCCAGCTGATGTTGCATGGAGTGGAGTGCTCTGCCTGAAGAAGGTGGCTTCAGCAGTACAGGGAGAGTCTTAGCACAAGGATCAGGGTGGTTCACCCTTTAGCTCTCTCCCCACAGCCACCAACCTCAGACTCTCCTCAAGTGTCTCTAGTCCACTCTGTCCTTCCTCTGCTAGAGCCCAGGGTAAGTGGCTGAAAGTGAAATCTTGTGCATTGGTCCTTTAAGAGGCTCTCTGTGTCTCTAGCTGCCTCTCCCTTGTGGACAGAAATCCCATTGCTTTTCATAGCTAAATGTTATTCGAGTTCCTTTCCTTGTTCTGGTGCTCTAGTCTGGGGAGACTAGCTTTGGTTTTAGACCCCCACACTTCTCAGGGGGAACCCCCCCAGCTGATGAAATATACCTCTAGAACTTCAGTTGCTGACTGTGGGAGCCCAGCCAGCCCTCTTGTGCCTCTGTACTTTCTACCAGTCTCATTGTGATACTCTGATTTCTTCCATAAATGTTCAGTTGATTATTCAGTATGATTTTTCTGTAACTTAGCTGTAATTCCAGTTTGGTCCTGGGAGGAGGTTAGTGTAGCTTCCACCTACTCTGCTGCCATCTTGGATCTCATAAATTTCTTTAATATATCAAATTCAGTGTTATGTACACTAAATTTAATAATGCAGTAAACTCATGAAAAGTCTAAATTTTCAAAGTTTAGAAAAAAACTTCAAAGTTTCTCTTGAAGTTTCTCAGGGCTTTAATGATCAGCATTTACTCTAGAATGGTTTTGGAAATATATATTTGAGGTAGAAAATGATGGGTATAATTATCATATCATTTAAAAATACAAAAAGTTATTTTACATGCATTAAAAGTGGTGTGGTCTGATTATTACATGATAGAATCTTTGAAATGTCACATGCTTTCATATTGGAAACTCAGTTTTAGAAGTTCTTGAATGATATAAGTTTTACATTTGTACTGTATTTGATCTTTGCTTGGAAATACTACAGACCTTTAGCCATTAAAGTTTTAATATCCAGAACAAAACTTTATTATCAATAAAGTAATTTAATGTATAGCAAATATTTATTATTGACCTTAATATCTGAATGACAATAGATCATATACCCAAGTATGTTATAACTTTAATATACCCCTCTCATCACATGCATAAGAGTAAATGTAGCTTAAAGGATTTAATTTTTAAATTGTCCAATATGTATTAGTTAAAATTTAAAAACAATATTTCAATTACATGTTCAAATTTAAAAAATTGTATTTGCTTTCTCAATACACTAATTAACTTTTTAAAATCCAGACCAGTTTGAAATGTTTAAATAGTCAACTATAATTTTATTTCTAGGGCCAGACTATGACATAGTATCCATTTTTACCGCTTTTAAATTACCACATTATAAATACACTTCATTTCACACAAGATGAATATTTTAGCAAAATAAAGTTTTCCTTACCTGACTAAAGGAAAATTACACATTTAAATACTTAATAATAGTGAGATACACTATTATTATAGTTGTGAATTCTAAAAAATACATATAAAAGTTCAAATGACAACAAAACATGCCACAGAAAACTTAGTTTAATATAAGGAAGAATACCTCTAGATGTTTATTTCTTTTTGCAATCTCACTTGGTGTATTTCCATCTTTGGTTTGCAGCATTTTATCAGCTCCAAGTTCAAGCAACTTCAAAACTACATTTTTATGACCCTGACGTGCTGCCCATGCTAAAGCCTATAAAAGTGGAGGGAAAAGAACATTGTTTAAAAAGAGGGACTGTATATGAGAGAGAGAGAGGGAGAGAGAAAGGACAGTATTTATGGCACAATAAAAAAGTTAACATGATTAATTAATAAAAATAATTTGATCTCATCATTTCACAATTTAATGTAAACATACTTTCAAAGTTGAAATTGCAAAGCAGACTTCCAGTGCTCATTGGTTTTATAAAATCAAATGTTTTACACACTCAAATGATTTCATATAATAAAATGATTTATCTGCCAATTAATGAACACTTTTCCATAAAACAGAACTCTAAGTGCATTCTAGAATTCAGACTTTATTTTGTGTTATAGTTTCTGTATCAATGATGAGGACAAAGAGAGTCAGGTATTTCTTTTTTTGTATTTTAGCTGCTGCTTTTCTTTATCAAAAAGCAATTATATCCCAGCTCTTCTATAACTTTTGTTTCTTAAAAAATCTGTGTGGCCTACTACTAATAACAACAAGATAACAATGCCTTAGAAATAAAAAGGAACATTGTACAATCAATTCTCACAGTATAACCATTCTCATCCTGGGTATTAACTTCTGCTCCATGAGCAACAAGTAGAGCAACAACCTGAGGGTGACCATCTCGTGCAGCATACATGATTGGAGTCATAAGTCTCCTAAAGAGTAGGAAGAAAAGAAACATTTGTGTTAATGCTGCTGTTGACAGTTATTGAAGTTCATGAATTTTACCATACAAAATACCATCAGTATTGTTTTGAAAGCAAAAAAAGAAATGAAAGCTTTTAATAAGTGAGGTGATTTAAAAATCCAGTCTCACAGCAAATAAAATGAACACTTTAAAGTATAGAATGCTTACACAGCACCCTCTAGTGAAGAAATGTGTTTAAGAAATAGAATCACTAAAAAATAAAAAAACCACACTTACACTTTGAAGTTTAATTTACATATTCATGTAGCAAAATATCAGAGTTCTCACACTATGCTTTTTCTTGAAATATAGTGATTAACAATGCATAAAAGGTCCCTGTTCTCTGAGGACTGCTCATACTAAATGCTTATTGTATTTTACTTAGCAGTTTGCTGAAATAAAAATGTAAGTTTAAAACTGCCTTTAATTCTTAATGTATTCTATTACAATTCTACTTTTGTTTACAATGGAAAGAATTTTACTTTAATCAATAATGAGATCAATCTAATAGTTTAGTTAGATTGTCTGAGGCTATTTTCTGAGAAAGCATAGTGGTTTTCCCCTAGCACGTCATTTTCCAAAATTAGAAATTCATCCCTCTACCCCCGGAAGTTAGTCATCTTCTGAATCTACTATAAAGGGCACAAAAAAGATTCTATTAGTTTTACTTAGGCTGAAGTTGTTGTCATGGTCTATTTTAAAGGAAGTCTGGGATTCTGGGCCCAATCTTCTTGAGTCACCTCAAATATCTGACATATTCAAAGAACTTCACAGAACAACAAATTTCAGAATTCTCTATTTTGATTTCATTAATAGGTTCACCTTGGTTACTCACATTACCTACACTGCCTATAAGCAGGATATTTTGCTATCCTGACTCTGATCACTCCACAGCAATGTCTTTCGCACAAAAAAGATTCACACATTTAGCTGTTTCTTTTATTTCACGGTATATTACAATTTCAGTGTTTTATTGGAAATTATATGCCTCCTTTACCTTGAATATCTCCTATAGAGTGGCTGCATTAGATAGACAATCTTTACAAGATGAAGAGTGAATTTCCTGGATAACTTAAGCAAATATATAGAAAATATATGCAGTAGAAAAAAACTGTTTGAGTCAACCAATCATTCAAAATTTTCAAGAGTATAAATCAGATCTCTTAATGCCTCCCCCCCCGGCACTTCCACCACAAGAGCCCAAATCTCCTCCTTCCCATCTTCCCTATTTCACAAAGCTACCATAACCACATTACTTAGGCCTAAGACTAGTAAGTATTATCCATGTCTGTTCCCCATCATTCCATATACAAGTCATCAGCAGGTTCTACTGCTTTACCTTCATATTATATAATGAATCTAACCACTTCTCACTACCTTGTTAGTCATGAGCAGTCAGAGCTATCATCTTTCTTTGACGTTTATTATTGCAAAAGTCTCATAACTGCTCTCCATGCTCCCTATTGGCCATTTTCAGTTTATTCTCTGTGAAAATGCCAAATTATTTTCCTTTTTGGGGAACATGCAAGTACTGTTCCCTCTACCTTTCCCTAAATCTTCATGTTGTACACTTCATCTTATTCAGATTCTTATTAAGAGGAAACGATCAATAAAACTGACAAACCTATAGCCGAATTGATCATGATAGGAAAAGATACAAATTATCAATATCAGAAATAAGAGAGGTGACATTATTATAGACTCTCCAGATTTTAAAAGTTTAAGGGAATATTATGAACAAATTTATGCCAACAAATTAAACAATTTCAATGAAACAGACAAATTCCTGAAGACTCAAACTACTAAAGGACACTCAAAATAATTAGTAATTAAAAACTTCCCACAAAGAAAACAAAATGCCCAGATCACTTCCCTGGTAAATTCACCAAACAGTTAATGAAAAAATTATACTAATTCTATACAAACTCTTCCAGTAAATTGAAAAGGAGAGAATGCACCCCAATTTATTCTTTGAGGTGAGAAGTACTCTAATAACAAAAAGCAGAGGAGAGAGAGAGAGAGAGAGAGAGAGAGAGACATTACAAGGAAAGAAAACCATAGATGAGTAATCTTCACTGAACATAGATTAAAAAATTCTAAACAAATTTTAGCAAAGAGAACCCAAGAATACATAAAATGGATACTATATCATAACCTAGCATCATTATCCTAGGAATACAAGGTTAGTTTGACATATGAACTAAAAAGAAAAACCCACATGGCGATCTCAATAAATGGAGAACAAGTATTTTACAAAATCCAACTCTTATTAGACAGCTGTTAGAATTCTAGGAAGGGTTTCCATGTCTCTTACTTTTTCCTTTGTAACTCCAAAGAGTTACTGTATTTGCAGGCTTGCTCACATCTATCTTTCAGTCCACTAATCAGCTCTTCAGTTGAGTCCCCCTCTGCTATTTTTCATATATACTTAATTTAATATTCAACAACAGTTTATGTTTTTCAGAATTCATTGGTACGTGTTTCATAATTCCTGTTTGTTACTTTGTGGAGGCAAATCCCTCTTTCATTGCTCAGAGGAATGAAAGTCGTGTTTAGATTCTTCTATTTTTTTTTTTTTTTTACCCATTTCTCTAATAAATTACTCTTTTGTTGAACTTGTTGTTCCTCTTTTATAATGTTTAAATTCCCGATATTTTGGTGATTTGTGGTTGTGTACTCATCTTCTTGCCAGTTAAGTCCCTCTAGTCATGGAAGACTCAAGCCAGCAACCCTGGCCGGGTCTATCAGAAGTGCAGGGCTTAGAGATTGCCCAGGGTGCTTCCTATGTTTCTTTCTATAGGAAGTTAACTTCTCTTCCATTCCAGAGATAAATAATTCCCTTTCTGTTTCAACAGAACTTTATTAAAAATTTACGGATGTCAAAAATTTGCAGTGAAAGGTTAAGACTTTAGTATACGTTCAGTTTAACATCTTGAAGTAATAAACCTATTTTTCATAAAATTCCTGGTCTTTGGTCACATTTTTCTCTCAGAATTTTGACAATCATTTCATCAAGTTGAAACAATCCTCTTCATACTTGAATAAGAAGTCTAATTTCTCAAACTAATTTATATTTTTTTAAATGTCTTTTTTTAATGCTGCATCATCCTAGCTGAGAACTTATTCAATTTCTTCTTCTAACTCAGTGTGGTTTTAAACTTTTCTTGTTTTGGGTCCCTCACATTTCTTTTACAGTTACTTTCAGATATTTATGGGTTGTTTTTTTTTTTTGTTTTTTGCTTCCGACACTGGGATCTGTTATCTCATTGTATTATCAAGCCGGTTATTACTTCTAAATTGGAAACAATCTGAATTTTGCAAATTGGTATTTTAAAAAAACTGCCTCACTTTATGATTACTATTTCTAACAATTTCTTAGTTGATTATCTTAGGTTTACCAAACATATATTCATATAATCTTGCCCCCTCTTTCCTAATAAAAAAATGCCTATTAATCAAAGATAACATAGTCCAAAGGTTTAGAACAAGGGTTGGCAAACTTTTTCTCTGAAGTTTTTTTCCTGTAAATATTATAGGCTTTATGGGACATACAGTACTGTGGCATAGTCACTCAACTCTGCTATTATAGCATGAAAATAGCCATAATAATGCATAAACAAATGAATGAACATGACTATTCTAAACAAAGATTTTAGGGTTTGTAAACTCCTACTTTTGAGTATAACTGGTATACATGTAAGTATATGTAAAGTTAGTCTGCGTAAATCAAACCTAGTCTTTAGCAGTTATTGGCTGTACAACCTCAGGCAGGTTTCTAAACTCTTATTTGCCTCAATTTCTAGAAGTTTATATGGTCAAATAACATTTTCTACATTAGTGGCATCTACTTGTGATATTATCATAATTTGTGGTAATGATATAAGAATTTTCAATAATTAGAAAAGTACTAGAGATGCAAGGAAAATAAGACCAGCAACACTGAAAGGAAAAGAGACCAACAGAGACAAGAGGGAAGGAGGGAGAGGGGGTGGGGGAAAAGGAAGGGAAGGGGAAAGTCAAGGAACATATAGCAAGGACTCATGGACAAAACCAAAGGGGAAGAGTTGAGGGAGGGAGGGAGGGGGCAAGGGAAAGTGGTGGGGGATAGGCAGAGACATATGTATTTGAAAACATAAATAAATTAATTAAAGAAATACGCATAAAAAAAGAACAGTACTAGATACAGAGTAAATGCTCTAGCATTATTAGCTACTTGTATTATTACTTATATCTCTCATTTTCTTCTCTTGCATAACTGAATTGCCTTACAGATCCCAAGAGAATGTAAATACAAAAAAAGAGCATTGAACAAGTATCCTGTCTTGTTCTTGAATTAATGCAAATGCTGCTGGCGTTTCTACGTTAAGCATGTAACTTTTTTTCAGATATATGTTTATGAAATTAACTCAAGTTGTAAAAATTGGACTTTAACTTTTATAAAAGTCACCCTTCCAGCACCTATTATAATAATAATCCACTTAAAAAATCTTGACCTATTTATGAAACTTATTTCTCAAAAATTGAATCATTTTTTCACAGTTAATATGCATCCTCTTTCAATCACTGGATATTATTCATATAATTTGCTGATGACATTCATTTTGATAATTTATTTATTATGCTCTGATCATTCATTATGCTCTGGAACTCTTTAAATTATATTAGGGTAATTTATTGCTTGAAAGTTTAAAAGAAGTAAACTGTTAAGCTCTCTGAGCCCAGGACTTTTCTGGAAAGTTAGCTTTCTGGCCATTTTTCTCAAAACAATGAGAGAAGTTGCAAAATAAAAATTAAAAAACAATGAAAACAAAATGAACTAGAAATAAAGTTACACTGACCTCCTCCTAGGACCAATCTGGAATTACAATTAAATTGTGGAGAAATCACCTGGAACAAACAACTGAACAATAGCCAGAAAGAAGACAAAACCATGGACAGACAGAAGAATCAGCTTGAGCACAACCTGAC